GCACTTTAAATACAGTTCCTCATGTTGTGACCCAACCATAAAATTATTTTTGTTGCTACTTCATAACTGTAATGTTGCTACTGTTATGAGTCATAATGTAAATATCTGATACACAGGATGGTCTTAGGCGACCCCTGTGAAAGGGTCGTTCGACCGCCAAAGGGGTCGCGACCCACAGGTTGAGAACCACTGCAAATCATCAGAGAGGCAAAGAAATCGGAAAGGGAACCCCTGCCAGCCCATGTGACTCAGTGTCCCCCGGGCCAGGCTGGTGCGCAATCTCCTGTCTCCCGTTGTCACTGTTTCTCAGGGAATGGCTCGCTGAGACGGCAAGTCTTGTGGGGGTGGGGGACCCGTCTGTACAAAAGCATAAAGTAGCAGCGGGGGCGGGGAGGATAAACTCTGTGTCCCACTTCCAGGCTGTCACCTTAATCCGCCAGGCAGACTGAGCTGGGCCAGGCGCCGCCATCTATTTATCAAATTGGCACCAAAGTTACCCTGAGTGCAACCCCCTGGCTCATCCATAGCTGCGCTGGCCGAAGGCGGCCTCAGGTGCCTGTGTCTAGAAGGGAACAGACCGACCGACCAGAACATGAGCCGGACCAGCAGGACCCTCAGCCCTTCCTACACTTCAGCAGCAGCCACTGCAAAGAACAGCCTTCAGAACCAGCAGAGACGGATTTGTTAGGAAAAGAAAATCAGTCCGTCTTCACAAGCACCTTCAGCATCAGCTCCCGGAGCACAGACACGTGACGGCAGGGAAAGTCTTCCTGCTTGGGGACTGAGCGTTAGGAAATCTCCACTGTGCAACTACCAGGAATTTAAAAATAGTAAGTGTACACTGATTGAATGCGGTGATCAAAACGACCATCACCCGCCAGGGGCAGGCAGACACCATGAGCCCCTGGAGGTGCTGAACTGAGAAAGACAATATCCACTCAGGAGTTTTCCTGAATCAAACGGACATCAGACAGACACAAACTGACGGTGATTCCGCAAAATGCCCAGCCTGCAGGCTCCCAAAGTGTGATGAAGATGAAGAAAGGTGGCAGGGCTTTCCAGATTAAAGACACGTGTCTACTAGAGTACGCGCTCCCAGCTGGGTCCCACCCAGAATAAAAGGCTGCAGAGGGCACTGGCACCGCTGACAGAATCGGGATATGGAGGGCAGGGGGTAAAACAAGGGCATCAGGTTAAATTTCCCGCTTTGATGACCGTGGGTAAGTGAGAAAACGCCTGTTTCGTCAGGAAATGCACACTTACAAAGGGGCGAGGGGGCGCAACGCTCTCTAACTCTCCAGTTCAGAAAAGCTATGCTGACAGGCAGAATCGGACACAGGCTAACAACAGGCGACCATGGGGAGAGGCGGCTGGGACGAGGTCCAAGATGACACCCGCTCCCTGCCCACTGGCCGCCGCCCCCGCCCCGCTCCCCGTGAACTCACCATCCTCCTGAGAATCCGCAGCAGCAGCTTCTGCTCCTTGGGGTCCTCCCTGGAGGTCAGTGAGTCGGCAAAGCTCTCTGCGTTCTCAGGGGACAGGCTGTCCGGGTGTTCTCCCCCGTAGAGCTGGACCAGGATAGACAGACACTTGGATGCAACTTCAAAAATTTCAGG